GTTCCACACAGGGCACCCCCCTCCATTTCAACCAACCAACCCCCCTGCAAGGTAGATTAGTCGGAGAGGGAACGCTTGGCCCAATAAGAGTCAAGTTTGAACTCAGACCTTCCTCCGAGCAGTTGTCAAACCTTAGCTATTCCAGTCTTCCTCAGGGCACTTCTGAAGACCTCCTTCCTCTGCTAGGGTTGCCAACTCCAGGTCGGGAAACTCCTGGAGATTTGGGAGGAGAAGTTTGAGGACCCGGACGTGGTCAACAGGGCAAGGATGCCACAGAGTCCACCCTCTGAAGTCGACCTTTTAGAAAGGGGGACTGATCTCCGTGGTCTGGAGAGCCATCGTTATTCGAGAAGATCTCCAGGCCTTACCTGGAGGTTGGTACTCCTATCCCAACCGCAGCAATAACCCGGCGGCGGCCCCCAATCTCCCCTCCGCCGCCCTTTGCCTTTTCCAGCCCATCTTCAGCCGAGGCTCTGCCGCCAGGAGCGCAACCCGAGCGAGCCCCAAATGCAAGGAAGCGCCAGCAAAAGGGGGCCAAACCGAAATGCTCCCCCCCCCCAAAAAAAACACCTAGGCTGGGCTTCCCTTGGCCATTCCAGCAAAGGAGGAGGAATCAAAAATCTTTCTCTCCCCCACCCCTCCCTTACTTGCGGGAGGTCGCTTCAGATGACAGCGAGGGGTCGGCGATGATGCACATCTGGGAACGAACCCCCGCCTTCGATTTGGTTGCAGGGGAGGACACGTGTACGGAAAAACAACGCGATTGGCTGCACTCGCCGACCCGTGATCGGGGCGAGACTTCCGTGGAAGGAAGGGGGGCTCGTTCGTTGGGAGGAAGCGATATAAGCGTGCTGCGTCCTAGAGGGAAAAGGGGAGTCATTCCTGCGATCTTGCGGCTGTTGTCTGCTTGCCAGGGAGGTTCCCGGTCTCCTGGCTTGAAGTGCAAACGATGCAAAACTGGCTCAGGTGGGGTGACCGCCTTGGTTTGAAGCGGCAGACCAAAGTTTGAGTCGGGGACAATGTTCCCTCTAAGCTGTGGAGTCGTGTGAGCAAAAATCCTACTTTCTGAGCTACTGGCCTTAAAGTTGTGAGCCAGCAATGTGGCTGCCGCATGAACTGGAGCCCTCCTTCCTGAGCGAAGACAAAAAATGTGTGAGCCGGAGGCTAAAAAAATATGAGCTAGCTCACACTAACTAAGCCTATTCTGCAGCGAAGGGTCCACTTACTCCAACCCTCAGGTGCTAATAATTCAATCGCTCTGGAATGTGCTTAATTGGGCTGGTTGCTTCCCAGGCAGTTTCAAGCCATACCAACCAGCTGAAAACAATCTACCAAGGTCACAGCTCTTCTTCGTTATCTGTATCTCTAGATAATGTTTTCTATGTAGCCCTCTTGCAGCCTGAACCAGGATTTTTCATAAAGCCACTGAAATAGGAAAAAAAAAAAAGGCTTTTCATGACAGTTCCCACTCATTCTCATGCATGGACCGGGAGAGGGACCCATCCCAGAAATATTTCGAACCATCCTCTTTTCAGGATGTTGGGAATAAAAGTCCCATCTTATTTCCCTCAGGATTCAAACCACAGATTCGAAAGTGACCTGGGGCCCGCCCTGATTCCCCCCCCCCCCCAGGGGAGAGGAGACATCTCAGCATGGTTCCTCCCGGGAGGGACCCGTTAGGGTGGTCGGACCGCCTCTCCGTGCCGGACAGCCGGGTGGGGTTCAGATTTGGCACAGCTTGTTCACCTTGCCAGATGGGGGATGAGGAGCCGTTGCCAGCAGGAGGGGAGCAAGGTGCGGCGCTACCATGAATGGATCCTGGACAAGCACCTGAATGTAGGGCAACCCCCTATCAGGAAGAATCCGGCGTGACCATCCATCACCTTGGTGAACCCCCGGTGGTGGCCAGCGATCACATTGGCACAGCTAAGGTTGTTTTGGGGTGGGGGCCTCGGGGCTGCCCACCGGCTAATTAAACTGCCCCCCGAAGCTCCCCCCCCCACAAGGGCAGGCCTTCACTGTGGAGCGTCTGGCTCCCTCCCTCCCCGAGGAGTCCCAGTGCCCCTTCCCTTGCGGCACCATGGGGCTGGGAGAGGCAAGGTAAGCAGCAGCCGGGCTGGCCATGGAAGTGCCGTGCATGGGCTCGGCACCCCGGAACACAGCCGGGCGCACCTGGCTGGGGCCAGAGGAAGTGCCTGCCCTGCCTGCATCCTGCCCTGGCCTGACTTTCCTGCTGGCGAGCATCTGGTGGGAGCCCGAGATCCTCGCCGCCTGCCCAGGCTGCTCTCTGCTTCTTGTGCTGCCGCCGCTACTGCTTGTCCCGCCCTTATCTTCCCAGCCGACAGGCCAACGTGCAATCGGGATGTAGGGGCCCGGAGGGGAGGGGGAGCTGAGACTCGGGGAGGGAGGCCCATAAAAACTGTTAGGGGTGATCTTGACCTTGACCTACTCACAGGCTGTGATGATTAAACGGGAAGGGAGGCCCAGAAGCAGAGCTCCTAGTAAGCAGTGATATCATTGATAAACAGATTACTAGGGCTGCATAAGGAGCTGCGGTGGCTCAAGTGGTTCAGACGCTGAACTGCAGGCTGTGGAAGGTCGGTAGTTCAGCAGTTCGAGACCCGGGTGTGCCGCATGACGGAGTGAGCTCCCGTCTCTAGTTCCCGCTCCTGCCAACCTAGCAGTTCGAAAGCAAGAAATTGCAAGTAGATCAATAGGTACCACTTCGGCCTTGGTGTTTAGTCATGCCGGCCACATGACCATGGAAACGTCTTAGGACAGCGCTGGCTCTTTGAAACTGAGATAAGCACCGCAACCCTTGAGTCGGATTCGACTGGCTTTCGAGCAAGGGAACCTTTACCTTTAGGTCTGCATAAGTAACCCAATGGCCTAGTAAATTGCAGCCTTGTATTTATCACTGAGGTAGCAGAACCAGGACTGCTGACATTCAGCTGTCAGGAGGAAAAGTTTTCTGCTATCTAAATAGACACACCATGTTCAGTAGTGTTTCCTGTCTGAAACCTGCCTGGCTTTCCTGGAGACAGGAAACTGGGCAAGATGGACCTCAGTGCTGATCCAGGAAAGTATGACATAAGTTGATAGGGAACAGGTTTGAGAGCAGCCAGCAAGCACAAGAATTAGGAATGTGTTGTGACCTTTGAGGTCAAATCAGGCATGCCACTTAGTGACATCTGGGTTGGCCTCAGTAACGGGTAGTGCATGAGACCCAGGTGTTGCACTGTTTTGTTCCTTTCTCTAGACATTGCGTGGGCCTAGGAATTTGCTTTTCACTACGGGCCTGCGTTGGCAGCAGGTGGATGACAACGGGGGATGGAGTCATGGGACGACGGGGAGCACGATGGAGAAAGGACAAAGGGAACGAATGTGAGGTGCAGGCGAGTGGGTTGTGTGGCCATCACGCTGACAGTGGGAGGGGGGGAGGGTGTGCCTCCTGTTCTGCGAGGGACCATGGCGAACGACATGACACGCTGTCCCTCATAGCCCAGCCGGAACATGGTGTCCAGTGGCCTTCCAGTAGTGGGGGAACCTTCACTGCCAGGCGATCACATCACTGGCAGAGGGACGCCGTGGTGGCATGGGGCCAGAGGACTGGTCACTGACCTCCCGTCAGACGAGTTTGTCAGGGGGTGTCACTGGGTGCAGAAGCCACCAGTGGGAGCACACACCGTTGAGCCACCGCTAGAGCAACGAAGTGTGTCGGGAACTGCTTGATAGAACATGGAGAGAAGACTGGCCACATCCCCTTCTTGGGCCATTGAGGAAATGATGGGCCATCCACAGAAACCACATTGCCCGCAGATTGAGTAGGGCAACATGGCCAGTAGTTTCTGGGACTGGCACATCCCCATTTGGGCAACACCCACACCCTAAGGCCCCCATCCCTCAGACTCCCAACACAGCACAGTATTCCATGACTGGCAAGATTGGAGCTGGTCACTTATCCCATGGACGAGGGGCGGTGTGGAGGGACTTTTATGCCTCCAGAGAAGGGGGCCAATCCGTCATCTGCACCCACTCAGAATCTTGGGGGAGGCCCTCAATGTGGTCAGTAGCCGCCATCCCCACATAGAACCCTCCGCGAGGACTCGTGTCCATATGTGGCCGGCAACCACGTTTCTAGCAGGAGGGGAGAGAAACAACGTGGTGGGCAGTGCTCGATGGGCTGAAAATGTCACCTCCACCAAACATATTCCCCCTGGAATGACTTCTTTCTGACACAACCCCACAAGGATTTTTACAATGGCTCTATGCGACTACTTATACTTTTGTCTACTATGATTACAAGAAGGTAGAGAGATTATAACTGCTGTTTTTGTCCTATCCCTGAATCCCTTCTGGAGAAAGTTAAAGGTAAAGGTTCCCTTGCTCGAAAGCCAGTCGAGTCCAACTCTAGGGCTGCACATGGAACGCTGCTACCTTCCCACTGAAGTGGTACCTATTTATCTACTTGCAATTTCTTGCTCTCGAACTGCTAGGTTGGCAGGAGCGGGAACTAGAGACGGGAGCTCACTCTGTCATGCGGCACACTCGGGTCTCGAACTGCCGAACTATTATAACTGCTATTTATGTCCTATCCCTGAATCCCTTTTGGAGAAAGTTAGGATAAAATAAAACAAACGAATGAATATTATTGCCCCCTACTGAAGAGGCCCTCTTGGGACTTGTGGCAATACATTAAAGTACAACTCACTTCTATTGATAATGGCATATATATCCTACCACTCCGCTGAGCAAAGGAGTGGCCTTCCTCCTGGCTTAATGATCTCTGTCTCCAGTGGAAGCCCCAGGCTTCCTGCAGTCTAAAGTTAGATACATGCTGCTGTCCTCACAGAAAAATTCCAAACCTCACTATGAGTAGGGACTGACAGCAGTGCCCTATTGGCTCTGCCGTGGTCCCTCTTTCTCATCTCTAGGCAGCTGCCATGCTTGGACAAATTCAGGGGGAAACTCAAACACTAGACTCTTTACATAGATGCTTTTATTGAACACAGTAGCTACAGACAAGTAGCCCGTATGCTTATGAGGCATTATCATTATCAGCCGACAACACGTGTTTTGCAACACCGTGCAGATGTCCAGTCAATGTTCGCACACTGGCAGTGACAGGCAGCATCACCTCGGATATCCCAGGATCCACAAGCCATTCCGCAGGCACAGGCAGTGGCCAAGTAACCTAGGATGGAAAGAAAAAGGTTAGAGGGGGAAATGAGCAGGAGAGTTCACCCTGTCCTCAGTACCCAGCTCTTGATCTTCTTCCAGATGACGCTCCCCCTTTGGCACAATAAATGACTTACCTGAAGGACAGGAGACATCGGCCCCACGTGCTGATACGCTGGTGCAATCAAGTTTGACTTTTGACAGGACTGAAGACACTGCAAAGTGAGACAGCACGGCGGTTACTCTCACCATAGTCACCCTTAAGGACATAAGAGTAGTTTTGATGGATCAGACTAATGGTCCATCTGGTCCAGCATTCTGCTTCTCGCCGTGGTAGACCATGATGCATGCATGAAAGGCCAACAGTTGCCTCTGCACAATTTGCATTGAGAGGTATTATCAGGGTTGGGTCTGATGAGTCCTCCTCAGAAAACAAAGGGGTCATAACCAGTGTTCCCTCTAAGCTGAGTTAGTGTGAGCCAGCTCACAGTTCTTTAGCCTCCGGCTCACACATTTTTGTCTCGGCTCAGGAAGGGATGGCTCTAGAGGAAACCAATTTATGCAGTAGCTGAATCGCTCGCTCACAACTTCAAGGCCAGCAGCTCACAAAGTAGAATTTCTGCTCACACGACTCCACAGCTTAGAGGGAACATTGGTCATAACGGCAGCTAATCCTACAGAGACTGAGATCCCAGAAGACCCTACAGTCCCTTAGACATCCAGAACGCAGGCTAAAAGGGGTATGTGGGGCTGGAGGACTCCCTGGGGGGCTCCTGTCCTCAACAAAACCCCACACAGCCTCACCCCTTTCCTCAACCCTAGGTCTGCCCATCACAACACTCTAATCACTACACAATATTGGCTCTAAACCACTGCCCCCAAATCTCCAGGAATTTCCGAAGCAGGAGCTGGCAACCCTCGTTCTAACAGAGCTGAATACCTAGTGATTCAGTGGATGACTTGATCATCAAGTTAATCGCATTGTCAATTGTACATGACTGAGCATGTGTGTACTGAGAAGGGATCAGCACCACAAACAGAAGGAAGATGGCGACCTTCATCATCTCGGTGCAGAAGTTCCTGCAGAGGAAAAAAACCACGATAAGCCATCATAAAGTGTACCATGCCAGGGTGCAGAATCTGTAGAAGGGAGAACAAAGTTCCTAATCACACAGGGACATAATAACGAAGAAAAAAAATCTCTAACCAATGACCTAAATTGAGTTTTATAGGATGCTTCCACGCTGCTGAAGAAGAGGCAAAGAAAAAAAATTGCCAAATAAAGGGCATGGTTGAAGGACTGTATGTGAAAACACAAAATGTGATAGACTTGAAAGACACAATCAGCTTGGGGGGGAATTTAAAATTACTGAGAACACAAGTAATTGTTTTATTTATGAAAGAAAAGCCCTGCTAGATCATACTAAAACTAGCTAGGCCAGCATCCTGTTTCCTGCCGTGGCCAACTAATAGCCCACAGAAGTCCCCAGAGAGGGCAAATGGGCAATAACTGTCTCTGGTTGCTGCTCCTCCTGCATATTCACTGGCATACTTCAGAATAACTTCTTATATTCCTGTTTATGATACCATCTACCATATTAGCATTTAAGAAATACTGATTGAATTTGGTGTGGTGGCTAAGTCCGCGGACTCTAATCTGGGAGAAGTGGGTTTGATTCCCCGCTCCTCCGCTTGCACCTGCTAGATGACCTTGGGCAAGCCATAGTTCTGGCACAGCTCTTCTCGACAAAGAGCAGTTTCTGTCTGAACTCTCTCAGCCCCACCGACCTCACAGGGTGTCTGTTGTGGGGAAGGGAAAGGAGTTTGAAAGCCACTCTGAGACTCCCTTGGGTAGTGAAGGGCGGGGTATAAATCCAATCTCTTCTTCTCTCCTTCTTCTTTAACAGCTGTAACAGCAAAACATTGTATTTTGAATATTACACTTCTCCCAGTTAGCAGAATATAAAAATTCTATTTTCTGCTGTAGAGTCCAGTAGGTGACTATAGTCAAAATCTGAGCTAAGTAAATAGAATACTTTAGCAAATAATGGGGGAGATCCTCTCCCTTTCCGTATACAAGGTCTTAACTTATGTGGTTCTTCTAAATACACTCTCCAGCATCACTGATGGCATGATATGGGAGCAAGCAACAGCTACTTGCCTCTCTCTCAATATGTCCACTAATTCCAGCTGTAGTATTCTGGTTGCCACCATCTAGCGGTTCTCCAGCATGAAAAGTAGCCTGTTTGGTATCTACTAGAACGCGTTCCTTCTCTGTAGTGGCTGCCACCTTCTGAAGCAGGCTCCCGAAGGAGGAGAGAGGGGCACTGGTTTTAGAAGTTTTTAGGAGGTGCCATATTGTTATTTTATTTGTGAGGGCTTTTAATATGACTTAAGATGCAGGCATTTTCTGGGGAGGGGGGTTACTTGTGGTTTTACCATATTTTATAGGCTTTTTTAAAAACTGCAAGTGTATGGGAGTCTGAGGGCATTGTCTCTACCGGAGAGACATGTGTCTCCATGGAAGGCCATGGAAGGCCATGGAGAGAGAGTGAGAGGACAAAGCAAGGGAGAAGAGAGGTCAGAGGGCAGCTCCCAGGTTAAGACAAAGAGAGGCATCCCATGGAAAGAGAAGAACTATACACATTTAGAGTGAGGTCACGCCCCGCAATGTTCAGGCTTGCAGAGTAGCTCTACCTGATAAAAGTAAACATAAAGGTTCCCTTGCTCGAAAGCCAGTCAGACTACAGCCAGGAGCAGTTGAGAAGCCCTGAGAAAGCCGTAAGGCTCTCCCAGTACTCAGGCCAGGCAGACACACACAGTAAATGTACCACCTGCTAAGGTAAAGGTAAAGGGTTTCCCTTGCTCGAAAGCCAGTCGAATCCGACTCTAGGGTTGTAGTGCTCATCTCCACTTCAAAGCCGAAGAGCCAGCGCTGTCCGAAGAAGTTTCCGTGGTCATGTGGCCGGCGTGACTAAACACCAAGGCGCACGGAACGCTGTTACCTTCCCACCGAAGTGGTACCTTTTTATCTACTTGCAATTTCTTGCTTTCGAACAGCTAGGTTGGCAGGAGCTGGAACTAGAGAAGGGAGCTCACTCCGTCATGCAGCACACTCGGGCCTCGAACTGCTGAACTACCGACCTTCCACAGCCTGCAGTTCAGCGTCTTTAACCACTTGAACCACCGCAGCTTCCCTCTACCTGATACTTTTAACAGATATTCTCCATGATCCCACACACAGGAGTGTGAATCCTTTCCCTGTGCTGTTTGATTTCCTTCTTACAAGTCCCTTCACGTCTTCTTCCCATTGAGTTGCAAATGTGTGTTTACAAGGGTGATTCTATACCTGAATTCCTGAGGGGGAAAACATATTGAAGGGATGGTTTTGAGTGGGAAAAGGCCCAGTGGTCCAGTGGCACCTTTAAGACCAGGTTTTATTCAGGTACAAGCTCTCCCTCCTCTGCGAGGACAGATCTGCATATCCCCCCCCCAATAGCTAGCAATCCAAAACAGTCCGGTGGAACCTGAGTGGTGAGTGTTGCCTTCTGGCACACTTCCGGTGATGTCAGGGGCTGTGGCATATGCGAATATGTTATGCTAATGTGTTATGCTAATGAGCTCCTGCGCCTCTTTTTCTACAAAATGACCCCTGCTTGTAACAAATATTCTCCATGATCCCACACACAGGAGTGTGAATCCTTTCCCCGCTGTTTGATTTCCTTCTTACAAGTCCCTTCGTATCTTCTTCCCGTTGAGTTGCAAATGTGTGTTTACAAGGGTGATTCTGTACCTGAATTCCTGAGGAGGAAAAATATTGAAGGGATGGTTTTGAGTGGAAAAAGGCCCAACCTTCCCTGGCCGTGACCTTCCCATGCTACAAAACTTTAAGGTGGCCACATGTACCTATGACAGATCAGGGTCTTAAATGAGTCATCTGCTTAGAGATTTCTTCCAAATGAACCTGTGGAAGAAATGCAGTTAAAATGACCAGGGCCCCATAGATCCTGCCTCTGCTTCCCTCCGTGCTCCAAAACAATGATAAAGTGTGCATGTTGCTTCTGTGCTTTCACCATGTTTGCCTCCTTATCCGTTACCTATACTTCTTTCCAGGGGTCATTTCCTGCAGGAGCACACAGGAGCAGAGTTCCGGCAGTAAAGAGCCCAGGAGGTGGGCACATGCAACAAGCCCCACCCCCTGCTCCCAGCAACCCTCAGTCAGAGCAAGAAGCAGCCAGGTAAGATGCAGAGCCCCCCCCCCTCCTCTTCCTAGTGATTACTTATTTGTATTTGCAATTCAGGCAAGAAACTGCTGCAGGTACTTTAGACACACACTGCCGCCGCCCCTCCTCTTTTTCCCTTTAAGTAACCCTTGAGGAGATTTTATGCCATTTGTCTGAAGAAGTGTGCTTTGCATATGAAAGCTTACACTTTGAATAAAACTTTGTTGGTCTTAAAGGTGCCCCTGGACTCAAACTTGGTTCTT